TTTGGGCTGGAGCAGCTGCTGGGCGTCTGGGTGTGGTTCTGCTCTAGGTCCCAGCTGGGTCCCACGACGAGATCTTTCAAGACTTCCACTGGGGATGTATGTGTTGGTGAAGAGAGACAGAAAAGACACACACATACACACACACAAATACACAAAACACGTGTTTAACAAACAGATATTCTTGCTCTGTGATAATACCTGGTTATCAACAACATTCCCAACGGGGATATCAATTGAAAGGATCAGTAAGTCCCTGTAGCCCTCCTGGTATAGACCCCCTTAGTCTCTTCAAGAACCAAGGACTCTTCCTTGCAGTGGTGTGCCGTGGGGAGAACCATACCTTCTCTGATGGCCTCCTGGACCAGCTTCTCTCCATGCGGGGGGTCCGACGACTCGGTGCGGAAGAGAGAGCGGGGGTTCCCCCAGGGCAGAGGGCCGTCTTCCCTGCCGCTCTGGAGAGCCACAAGGTCTGCGAAGAGTTCTGCTTTCTCCCTGAGAAGCACCCCAATCTCCTGGTCACACTGCTGAATCTTGTCTACGGGAAGGAAGGATGGAAGGAAGGAAGTGAAGGTGGCTGCCAGGGGAAGGCGCAGGAGGGAAGCTGGGAATGAGTTGGACCTTACCCTTCAGCTTCCTGAGAGAGGCTTCACTCTCGGTCTCAATGAGGGGGAAGTCATCCCGGTGAGGGCAGCTGCAGTGGAGAAGGAAGCAGAAATGTCAGGGTTAACCCTTTGGGCCAAGAAGTCTTGGGCAGCCTGTAATTCTGGCAGTTTGGGGCGAAGGGGGCTGCGTAGAAGCATCTTTGCCATAAATTAACTCAACTCCCATTTATAGTTTTTTCCACCAACTTCTGGGGCAACTGAATCAGCCACCTGGCCGTTTCAGCCAAGCTCTGCCTTCTCTGGACATTAAAGGAGAAGGCAATCCTGTCGCCATTTTACAGCTCATTCCTTATTTTGGGAAAGTCCTGTTTTAATCTCCCTCCACTCTTGCTGTCTTTTTTTTTAAACAAAAACAAAAAACGCCCCAAAGGCTGTGATGATTTAAAGTCATGATCACTGAAAGGGACCACAAATCTTAAGAGGATTTGGGATTCCCTCTCTGGGGCCATTCCAATCAAATAAATGGACTCCACCTATTTGTATAAATGGGCACTGAAGTAAAGACCAGGATAGAGAAAGCCCGAACGGCATTCTTCAAAATGAAAAAGGTCTTCTGCAGTCACGACATAAGCCTAAGACTGAAGATCAGGCTTGTCAGATGCTGTATTTTTTCTATCCTGCTCTGTGGAGTAGAGAGTTGGTCTCTGACAGAAGGCCACCTGAAGAGACTAGAAGAATTTGAAATGTGGATTTACAGGCGGCTGTTACGTAGAAGCTGAGTTGACAAGATCAGAAATGAGGGGATCAGCCGCCTGGGAAAGCCCAGGGAAATCATCAAAACAATTAAAAAACGAAAATTAGAATATTTCGGGCAGGTGATGCGACACCCCAGAAAAATACGGCATACTCCATTTAATCCTCCAGGGAAAGATGGAAGGCAAACGAGGTCCAGGCAGAAGAAGAACATCGTGGCTTCAAAATCTAAAGGACCGGTTTGGACAAAACTCAGCAGCCCTTTTTTGTGCGGCTGCTGATAAAAACAGGATCGCCAACGTCCAATAACGGATATGGCACAAGAAGAAGAAGAAGTATAAATGGGCTGACTTAATGATTTTGAAAAATTATATGCTGCTCCTTACAGCCAAGTTATGGCAGTTATAGTATGGTAAAAATACAAGCTAAAGTAAAACAAAACAAGGAAAGGAAAGGGAGAAATAAAAGAAAAAGTGCAAAATGAAAAAAGTAGAGGAAAACTAGGAAAACAAGATATAACAATATTAAGAAATGGCTTCTGGTCTTCTTCAGGAGCTATAAGTACAATTATATTTTAACCTCTATTTCTAAAGCTGCATCACAACTCTCTTCTTTTTATAATCTCTCCTGTCTAATCATCCAACCCACAAACCAGGGGTAGGCAACCTTGGCTCTTTTATGACTCATGGACTTCAATTCCCAGAATTCCTGAGCCAGCCATGCTGAGGGGAAAGGGAGAGGTTTCCAAGGTGAGCCATGTTGGCTCAGGAATTCTGGGAGTTGAAGTCCACGAGTCATAAAAAAGCCAAGGTTGCCTACCCCTGTCATAAACCATGTTCCTTTTTCTTTTTTTTATGCAAAGAGTCCATTAGGGATGTCCAATAAATATAGATATTGTCTTTTCTCTAATCAAAGAAGTCAATTTAGCCATTTCAGCTAGTGCAGTCTCATCGTAGGCTGGACGTCTCCGTGACCGAATTCACACAGAGAGATATGCTGTGCACCATGCTTTGTAAGCCACAACTAGCTGGGTTCACATCATATCGCAAGCCAACATCGACTAGAGCATGTTATGGCTCAGACTAGCTCTTTAGCAAACCCCCATCAGGCACTGGAGGTGGCTTCAACTCCTTGCCTTACAAGTGGGGCAGGTCTGGATGCCTGTCCCACTGCCAGGCCTATGGAAGGATGGGAGGGAAGCTGCCCCCCCAGCCCACTCACAGCTTGACACTCTGCTGGATGACCTTCATCCAGGTGTTGCGGTCATCACGCGATGCAGCGTGAACCTCATACATCTCAGGCGGGGTGCCACTGATCAGGAACATGCCCTTCTCCTGGTTGGCAATGTCACGGACAATCAGGTTCTGGATGGAGATGACTGTTGGCTTGTCCTGAAAGGAAAGAAGCATGTTCAGACTTTCCCCTCGTAGGTAGATCCGTAGGAAGGGACCTTGGAGGTCTTCTATTCCAACCCTCTGCCCCGGGCAGGAAACCCTATACCAGACATGTCAAACACAAGGCCCGGGGGCCGGATGCGGCCTGCGAAGTGGTTTCATGTGGCCCACGAAGCCATCCTGGACACCTCCGTAGCTGCGTTTCTTGCCTGTTTTTCTCCCTCCCTCATCTCAAATATTTCCCCACCACTCTGTTCTTAGGAAGGAAGGAAAGAAGGAAAGAAGGAGAGCGAGGGTCTGAGGGAAGTCCTGCTTTAGTCCTGCCCTGCTGCCCTTTTACCATCCCTTGCCCCCTCCTCCTGGCCTATCCTGGGGTCTCCCATCCTATTGCTAAGGAAGCTTTGGATACAAAGCCGGGTCTCCTCCCATGGAGAGAGAATGGGCCTCCCTCTGACTTTGCCCTCGTACCCATCATGAGCAACCTGGTTAAGGAGACCAAGCACAACAGCAGCAGCCTTGAGGAGGTAAGTGCAGCTGGGCGCCCCCTTGGGGAAGTGGGGCTGGGCTTGGTGCCGCAGGTGCTCGAGGGCCAGGCTGGGCCTTTGACCTCTGCTGCCCAGGGCTCCGGGTAGCCCGCACCACCATCCAGCCCCCCCCCCCACATGGCCTGAGAGGAACGGTGAGGCTCCTCCAGTGGACCATGCCTTGGCACTTGCCCCGGTCCCACCCCCTTCTGCCAGAGACCCTCAGATCTGTCCCACTCCCGCCCAGACCCCCACAGGCACCCTTGACGCGAACGATGTAGAGCTGGCCATGCCCACCCAGTAGGCACCACCCACTCCACGCCCACCCAGTAGGATGCACCCCCCCTGGCCAGGGGGGGGGGCTCCCGTTGGTGTTACACTACTTTAACTCACTGTGGGGACGGAATATGGATCCCAGACAAATAGTTGTCTAATTTTTTCTTCAAAATCTCCAGCGATGGAGCCCCCACAACTCCGGGAGGCATCCATTCATTGCCCTCTTTCAAAAGTAGCATTTATCGTGGATCAGGGAGCCTTGAAATGCAACATCCCCAAACCATTGTTTAATTTGCTTGGAGGTCCTCTCTTCAAGCCATCTTGGCTTCATCCATGTAATTTTCACAGCAACCGTATGAATGTCCTTCTTTTCCAGGGTTGTCTATAAAGCCCTGTGATTTCCTGGTGGTTTTCCACCCCAAAAACTAACTGAATCTGATCCTCCTTAGCTTCTTCACATCAGCCAAGATGAGACTAGGATTGTTTGAAACCCTTGGTAGCAAAGACAATCCCAGTTCCGACAAGATCTATTCCTGGGCCCTGTAAGGCAGTGGTTCTCAACCTTTTTAATGCCGCGACCCCAACCGGTCGTAAGTTGAGGACTAAACCGGTCGTAAGTCAAGGACTACCCAACCGGTCGTAAGTCGAGGACTTTCCCTGCCCGGGAGCGACGCACATGCGTGGTTCTGCCCCCTGCGCCGGCCGAGGCGTAGCTGGCAAGCGGCAGAGACGGAGCAGGCCGACCACCAGCTGGCCCAGCCCAAGGGAGGTAAGGCACCCGCTGGAAAAGGGGAAAAAATGGCGGACAAAAAAAATGGCGGACAAAAAAATGGCGGACAGCCTTGCTTGGCGACCCCCGTGAAATGGTCGATCGACCCCAAATGGGGTCCCGACCCACAGGTTGAGAACCACTGCTGTAAGGGGTCCTAAACACAGCCAGGGCCCTGGGCGTTCTGTGCCAACAGGCACCCAGTTTGAGACTTGGGTATCTCATCACAGGAAAAGGTGAGGGAAAAATAAAAGGGCACTTACCAGTGTGGGGAAAATATACTTTTGGTCCTTCTCCTGCAGGAAGATGAGAACGTCTGTCATCAGAACCACCAAGACATCTGCAAGGGAGAGAGGGACAAGGGACCACAGGGAGAGGAACAGTTTACTGCAGGGCCCCCCAATCCCTGGGCCACAGCACACTACCGAACCTTGAGCGGTTGGGCTGTGGAAGTGGCAGGAGAGTGTGCACGCGCATTCCCACTTGTGCGAGCAGCGGACAAGTGCCTGTATGTGCACTCCATTTGTATGAGGGGCGGGCGCACATGCCCGCTGCTTGCGCACATGGAGATGCGCCCGCTTGCCCGCCACTCACGCAGAAACATCCCTTCTCTGGACAGTGATTAATATTTATATGTTACTTATATGTAAGGGTGTAGGTCAGGGGTAGTCAACCTTGGCTCTTTTACGACTCGTGGACTTCAACTCCCAGAATTCCTGAGCCAGCTAAGCTGGCTCAGGAATTCTGGGAGTTGAAGTCCACGAGTCATAAAAGAGCCAAGGTTGACTACCCCTGGTGTAGGTCTATACGTATGTTGTATATAGTATGTTTAAATGTGTTTTATGTATGTGTACACTTCGAGAGCAAGCAACTCAATTTTATTTTTAATGTGCACCATTGTACCCACAGTAAAAAAAAAATGACAATAAAGGTTATCTATCTATTTCTCTCTCTTCCCCCCACTGGTCCGCAAAGCCAGAAAGGTGAGGGAACTCTGTTTTACTCTATATTCTACACATCACCTTGAGTTGTATAAATAAAAGATAGAGTAGAAATATAAGTACACACAAAGAACAGTGGCAATGATTATTCCATGTTTCACCATAAGTACGGGGGGAAGGAAGTCTCACAGCATGCGACAGTACTACAGACTCCAATACAAAATATTTTCTGGTCCAGAAAGGAGGGTTTAGGGATTGGCTTGCAAGAATGACCACAGGCTGTCCTCAACTTACAACAGTTTGCTTAGTGACCCCTCAGAGTTACAACGACACTAAAAAATGTGACTTAGGACTGTTTTTCACAGTTATGACCTTGCAACATCTCCATGGTCATGTGATCAAAATTCAGATGCTTGGCAACTGACTTATATTTATGACGGTTGCAGTGTCCTGGGGTCATGTGGTCCTCGCCCACAGGGAAGTCAGATTCACTTAACAACCGGATTACTACTGCTGCGATTCACAACAATTGTGGCAAGAAAGATCATAAAATAGGGCAAAACAAATCTCTCACTTAACAGCAGAAATTTTGGGCTCAGTTGTGGCGTAGGTTGAGGACTACCTATATTGATCATTTTGCAGAACCTGGCTCTCCTTCGTTCGGAAGCTAAACCAGGGCAGGGACGGGGCCTTTCCTGCCGTTCGTCCCACCTTTGAAGCGCCCGGCGGGGGTCTTCCAGAGCATGCAGCCGTCGTGGACCAGCTTGCGCCGCAGCATCTCCTCCTTGCTGAAGGGCCCCCGCTCCCAGGGCAGGTGGGCCTTGGTCCGCCCATCCACCCGGCCGTAGATTTCTTGCAGCCGCGCGTTCTTCTCCTGATTGTGCACTTCCTGGTCAATGGTCGAGAGCAGCTCTTTGACCAGCGTCAGGGCTGTGCGCAGATCTTTCTGATCCACTTCATTCCCTGGGGGGGGAGAGAGAAAACATTATCAGATTCACTGAGAGTTTGGGAAAGGAAACGGAAGGGAGAGGAGAGAAAACCACCCAGAAAGAAAAGGCAAATTTGTAGGCAACTGCTCAGCCCAGGAGGGCAGAAACACGGGTTTCAAAGCACTCCGAGAGGATCCCCTTTAGTGAACTCGCTAGAAATAAGACTGGGAAATTCCTAAAATCCAGGTTCGTTTTATCGGATGTGGTGGTCTTGCAAACATGTGAAAACATAGTGGGCAAACGTAACAACGGCAAGGCAGAAAATATTTAAGCTACAAGTATGAATGAAACCTGAAGCTTTTCTTTTCGTCTGCAGTCACGACATAAGCCTAAGACTGAAAATCAGGCTTGTCAGATGCTCTATTTTTCCTATCCTGCTCTATGGAGTAGAGAGCTGGTCTCTGACAGAAGGCCACCTGAAGAGGCTAGAAGCATTTGAAATATGGATTTACAGGCTGTTAGGTATAAGCTGGGTTGACAAGATCAGAAATGAGGAGGGGATAAGCCGCCTGGGAAAGCCCAGGGAAATCATCAACACAATTAAAAAACGAAAGTTAGAATATTTCGGACATGTGATGCGACACCCAGAAAAATACGACATACTCCATTTAATCCTCCAGGGAAAGATTGAAGGCAAATGAGGTCCAGGCAGAAGAAGAACATCGTGGCTTCAAAATCCAAGGGACCGGTTTGGACAAAACTCAGCAGCACTTTTTCGTGCGACTGCTGATAAAAACAGGATCGCCAACATGATGGCCAACGTCCGATAACGGATATGGCACAAGAAGCAGCAGCAGCAGCTTTTCTTTTAGGTATGATGGACAAGCCAACTGAAAAACAATATGGGGCGCTATTCCTTCACATGGTGATGGGGGCAAGGATTGTACTTGCCAAGCACTAGAAAGAAAAAGGGACGCCAAATGTGGAAGAATAGATTTTGAAATTTGCTGAATTAGCCGAGATGGCAAAATTAACTGCTTTGATCAGAAATAATGGACTAGACAGCTTTATAAGAGACTGGAAACCGTTTGTGGACTTTTTTACACACCAAATACAATAACAGATGGTTAACAGAGGGATTTGAAGATTATATATATATATATAAATTTCTTTTTTTCAGCAACCAGCCGGGGTGGATTCTATATCAATCGGAATAGAGTTGGAAGGGAACCTTATTAAATGTTTAAATTTATTTGGTATTTGGATCACCTTTTTCTCTTTTTTATACACATTTTTCTTTTTTGTTGTTAGTGCTGGACGTATGTTTTTGTTTTGTCCTGTTCTGGGATTAAAAGTTTTGGTCTTCACTCTAGATCACGGGTAGGCAACCTTGGCTCTTTTATGACTCGTGGACTTCAACTCCCAGAATTCCTGAGCCAGCATAAATTGAGCGCTACTTAAAATATTTTCAAATGAATGACATATTCCATACTGGAAGTACTAGAAATACATTTCTTAGGCGACAGAAACAGCCCATAGTACAAATTTGAAAAATTGGTTGTCGTAGCTATTAATTGTTGATGAAAGTATTTTTTTTAAAAAAGTAACAACACTCTAAAAGGCCACCCGGGCCTCTCTCTGGTACCTTTGGAGTTTTGCAGGATTCGATCAATGAGCCCAGGATATTTGGTGATGCGCTGGGTGACGAGCAGGATGCATTCTTGCACCCCGTGCCGCCGAAGCACCGATGAGCGTGACAATCTCTGGAAACATTGAGGAAATGGGCAGAAGGGTTATTACTCAGAATACATCCACAAGTATATGCAGCACACCTCTGTACACGCCTCCCCCCCACACCTCATGCCAAATCTAAACCCCAAAGCTTCGGTCATAGCTATAAAACGAGGAGATGCACAAACCCTGAAAAGGTTGTGGGTATGACTACAGGTAGTCCTCGAGAGGGACTGGAATTTCGGTCACTAAGTGATGCTGTCGCGGCTGCATCTCTCCTAGCCAAGCTTCAATGAGCTGACAGCCTGACATTAGCAACGGGGTTGGGGGGGGAGGGATTGGACTGTAAGGAGGAAGAAGGAGGGGATGGAAGCCCAAGTTGAGCCTTGAGAGAAGCTTCAGCCAGCCAAGGTCAGCTATGGATATGCAGAGCTGGGAACGAGAACCTATTTCCTAAACAATGTACAAGCACCTGATTGGATGGCTGGCAGGGGAGCGGGAGGAGAAGTAAATTTACGTTGTATTATTTACACGGGAAAACCTCAGATTCAGCTCTCGCTACTTCTGTAACCATTTAAGCTTCCGTAAAGTATATTCTTGGCAACAACGAACGGCCAGCGGTCTTTCTTTGCTAGATGGCTGAGTGGGATGGTTTCACTTAGTAATCTCTGCAGTCCCAATTGTTGTCGTTAACTGANGGCAAGCGGCAGAGACGGAGCAGGCCGACCACCAGCTGGCCCAGCCCAAGGGAGGTAAGGCACCCGCTGGAAAAGGGGAAAAAATGGCGGACAAAAAAATTGGCGGACAAAAAAATGGCGGACAGCCTTGCTTGGCGACCCCCGTGAAATGGTCGATCGACCCCAAATGGGGTCCCGACCCACAGGTTGAGAACCACTGCTGTAAGGGGTCCTAAATACAGCCAGGGCCCTGGGCGTTCTGTGCCAACAGGCACCCAGTTTGAGACTTGGGTATCTCATCACAGGAAAAGGTGAGGGAAAAATAAAAGGGCACTTACCAGTGTGGGGAAAATATACTTTTGGTCCTTCTCCTGCAGGAAGATGAGAACGTCTGTCATCAGAACCACCAAGACATCTGCAAGGGAGAGAGGGACAAGGGACCACGGGGAGAGGAACAGTTTACTGCAGGGGCCCCTAATCCCTGGGCCACAGCACACTACCGAATCTTGAGCGGTTGGGAACTGGTCTGCGGAAGTGGCAGGAGAGTGTGCATGCACATTTCCACTTGTGCGAGCAGCGGACAAGTGTGTGCATGTGCATTCCATTTGTATGAGCGGCGGGCGCACGTGCCCGCTTGCGCACATGGAGCTGCGCGCGCTGGCCCGCCACTCACGCAGAAACATCCCTTCTCTGGACAGTGATTAATATTTATATGTTACTTATATGTAAGGGTGTAGGCCAGGGGTAGTCAACCTTGGCTCTTTTACGACTCGTGGACTTCAACTCCCAGAATTCCTGAGCCAGCTAAGCTGGCTCAGGAATTCTGGGAGTTGAAGTCCACGAGTCGTAAAAGAGCCAAGGTTGACTACCCCTGGTGTAGGTCTATACGTATGTTGTATATAGTATGTTTAAATGTGTTTTATGTATGTGTACACTTCGAGAGCAAGCAACTCAATTTCATTTTTAATGTGCACCATTGTACCCACAGTAAAAAAAAATGACAATAAAGGTTATCTATCTATTTCTCTCTCTTCCCCCCGCTGGTCCGCAAAGCCAGAAAGATGAGGGAACTCTGTTTTACTCTGTATTCTACACATCACCTTGAGTTGTATAAATAAAAGATAGAATAGAAATATAAGTACACACAAAGAACAGTGGCAATGATTATTCCATGTTTCACCATAAATACGGGTGGGGAAAAAGTCTTGCAGCATGCGACAGTACTACAGACTCCAATACAAAATATTTTCTGGTCCAGAAAGGACGGTTTAGGGATTGGCTTGCAAGAATGACCACAGGTTGTCCTCAACTTACAACAGTTTGCTTAGTGACCCCTCAGAGTTACAACGGCACTAAAAAATGTGACTTAGGACTGTTTTTCACAGTTATGACCTTGCAACATCTCCATGGTCATGTGATCAAAATTCAGATGCTTGGCAACTGACTTATATTTATGACGGTTGCAGTGTCCTGCGGTCATGTGGTCCTCGTCCACAGGGAAGTCAGATTCACTTAACAACCAGATTACTAACTTATCAACTGCTGCGATTCACAACAATTGTGGCAAGAAAGATCATAAAATAGGGCAAAACAAATCTCTCACTTAACAGCAGAAATTTTGGGCTCAGTTGTGGCGTAGGTTGAGGACTACCTATATTGATCATTTTGCAGAACCTGGCTCTCCTTCGTTCGGAAGCTAAACCAGGGCAGGGACGGGGACTTTTCCTGCCGTTCGTCCCACCTTTGAAGCGCCCTGCGGGGGTCTTCCAGAGCATGCAGCCGTCGTGGACCAGCTTGCGCCGCAGCATCTCCTCCTTGCTGAAGGGCCCCCGCTCCCAGGGCAGGTGGGCCTTGGTCCGCCCATCCACCCGGCCGTAGATTTCCTGCAGCCGCGCGTTCTTCTCCTGATTATGCACTTCCTGGTCAATGGTCGAGAGCAGCTCTTTGACCAGCGTCAGGGCTGTGCGCAGATCTTTCTGATCCACTTCATTCCCTGGGGGTGGGGGTGGAGGGGAGAAAACATTAGCAGATTCACTGAGAGTTTGGGAAAGGAACGGAAGGGAGAGGAGAGAAAACCACCCAGAAAGAAAAGGCAAATTTGTAGGCAACTGCTCAGTAACAACACTCTAAAAGGCCACCCGGGCCTCTCTCTGGTACCTTTGGAGTTTTGCAGGATTCGATCAATGAGCCCAGGATATTTGGTGATGCGCTGGGTGACGAGCAGGATGCATTCTTGCACCCCGTGCCGCCGAAGCACCGATGAGCGTGACAATCTCTGGAAACATTGAGGAAATGGGCAGAAGGGTTATTACTCAGAATACATCCACAAGTATATGCAGCACACCTCTGTACACGCCTCATGCCAAATCTAAACCCCTAAGCTTCGGTCATAGCTATAAAACGAGGAAATGCACAAACCCTGAAAAGGTTGTGGGTATGACTACAGGTAGTCCTCGAGTGGGACTGGAATTTTGGTCACTAAGTGATGCTGTCGCGGCTGCATCTCTCCTAGCCAAGCTTCAATGAGCTGACAGCCTGACATTAGCAACGGGGTTGGGGGGGGGAGGGATTGGGCTGTAAGGAAGAAGAAGGAGGGGATTCCCGGAAGCCCAAGCTGAGCCTTGAGAAAAGCTTCAGCCAGCCAAGGTCACCTATGGATATGCAGAGCTGGGAACGAGAACCTGTTTCCTAAACAATGTACAAGCACCTGATTGGATGGCTGGCAGGGGAGCAGGAGGAGAAGTAAATTTACGTTGTATTATTTACACGGGAAAACCTCAGATTCAGCTCTCGCTACTTCTGTAACCATTTAAGCTTCCGTAAAGTATATTCTTGGCAACAACGAACGGCCAGCGGTCTTTCTTTGCTAGATGGCTGAGTGGGATGGTTTCACTTAGTAATCTCTGCAGTCCCAATTGTTGTCGTTAACTGA